GCAGGTTATGAGCCTCGGATATTACCCACTCGGTGATGGTGCTTACGAAGAGCATGGCGAAACCGGGTCCCAAGGCGATGGCAAAGCTGAAGCGGGTTCTCAGGTATCTAAAAGAGCTGGCCATCTCCACGTTCGAGGCAGAAGTCGTCGCGCTGTCCAAGGCGTGCCTCATGGTTATACATTTTCGAAATTTGCTAGAGTCGTTGAAGATGAAGCAGAAGCAAGCAACAGTATTGTACGAGGACAACGCGGGTGCCGTAGCGTTCGCAAAGGGTAGCAAAATCACGCCCCGCACGAAGCACATCGACGTGAAGTTCCACCACGTCCGGCACCTAGAGGACCAAAACGTGGTAGATGTAACTTACATCGACACCAACAGGCAGAGGGCAGACATATTGACCAAAAGTTCGGGAGCTGTGAAGTTCCTGCAGAACCGCCTTATTTTGCTTGGAGTGTGAGTACCTCCCCTTACCGAAATCAGACCATATGTCTTAAAAGGGTTGGACGGTACATGGAATTCGCTGCCCAGAAAACTCTGGCAGTTAGTGATGAGTATTCAATTTGAATTGTTCGAGAGCATGCATTCATGTTGATAGCATTTGTCGAGAGGACACTGGTATTTGTTTCGAGAGGACACTGAAAGAATTTTGTGTATTATGTATCAGAGCTAGTCATGACGTAGTTCTTGAGAGGACATTTTGGGATTTGTATGCAAGAACTGACTCTATTCTACTGCATGGGTTTTGTGCAGTATTGTGAAGGCGTGTCTCCAAGTCTGTAACCGTCAGGTGAAGACAGCTTGGGCGCCTGTGTTTTGGATCTAATGATCACTCTGTGTTGTATCTACCCAAACTGCGCCACCACTGCCAACTACACAACAAACAGCAACTACAATTCTGTTGTCACCCGCCCTGTCGTCTCCTCGAGCTCTTCTGGGACACTGAGAGCGGCGGGGTAGTTGCAACTGTGCGAGGGTTTCGGCCAGTAGCGGAGGTGCGAAATGTGGGTCAGGATGAAACGCGAGGAGGACTCGTGAGAATCTGGGAAGACTGTACTGCTGGAGCCGAAATGCAGCTCAACGTTGCCGACGTCCTGGGCTTGGCGGAGATCTATACGGCTGACGAGATGGAAGTTGACCAGCACGGCGGGGAGTGGAACCAAGGTGTTCGGTGCACTTCATGGGATCGGTTTGTGGGGGAAGGGTTCGTGGTCCAAGCCCGGGTCAAACGGCGACGTTCCGGTGAGGACTCGGTGCAAAAGTACGAGGTGACCCACGCGCCTTGGTGCAAGGAAGGAACCTCTGAAGACCCACTGTTCGTCTTGAGGAGGGAAGGCTTCAACCTCAACAACGACAACCTCGTTTTTTTTTCGGCCCCTGTCGTTTGCTACAACAACGCCTTCAACTGCTTTGGGATGGGAAACAAGGTATCATCACCAGGATATTGTGGCAGTGTCCTTCATGCACTCCCCTGCCTCCACCCTCTCCCGTCGAGCAGTATGCCTTGTTTGTAGATGTACCTCGTGCAGCAGTTTTACCATGTCGAGCATTTGAATTTGGCCCCTACAGCAGTAGGTCAACACGGTCGGAGCTACTGGGCGAAACACTCACAGGCCCATACGCACGCCGTGCCCAGCGTACCGTCACCTACTCGGGCACAAGTCGTACTCGGGGTATGTCTCGTCTTATTTAACCACACACACTTCCCACCTCTCTTGTTATTGATGTATTGTCGTCAATTCGTCGGCTTGTCAGCATTCCGTAGGTGGTACATACTTCGGTTGGCCGTGGAGGAGCCAGGCGGTGCAGAGACTGAGGCAACAGACACACGTCGGAACCCTTGCTAGCACAGGAGCTTCTTGCGCTGGCGAGATCGGTCTTCAGTGTGAGATCCTGGGATTGCTGCAGCGGGGGTGCGTGGGGGAATGCACGCTCAAGGACGACGACGGGGCAACATATAACCAAGAGGTATGTTTACAAGTTGCAAGCCCTCGGCCATCTAAGACGAGCGAAAACCAGTGGTATAGGTAGTGGGAAGGGGGCTTGGGGGTCACACCAAGCTACGCGTTTTTTTTTTTTCAACGGGTTACCTTTGATTTACATCCCGCTGTAACCCGTCATTGTTTAGGCGCTCCCCGCTATCGGTGTCCTACACATTTATGTTCGCACGGCTCTGCCATGGTCTACAGCGGTGTTCGTGGAGAATTTATCCCCGAATAGTTGTGCCGACCATCTACTGTATCTAGCTACCACGTTGTTATCCGCAAGAGTATCTCCCCACCCACCCAAAAAAAGAATGACCCACAAGGTTCCCAGTCGAGAGCTTGGTGACTTCCAAGATGTGGCCCATATTGTCATGGTTGGTGTATCGATCTCAGTGTTAGGTAATGCCCGTTTACGCACAAACCGCTGACATGTGTAACGGGGAATAGTTCCCTTTCCTTCTCGTATAGACTTTTCGCCTGTGCGTCAGTGTGTGTGATGCTTCCACTCGGCGTATTTGCCGCAGATATCCTACTGCTGTAATCCGCTGCTTTTGATGGGGCTCTCTTTTGCATTATTTTGGGCGTTGTTGCTTGTGGCGTATGGTAACTCACGGGTGTTGCACGAGAGTCACAAGAGTTCCTCTTGATGTAGAGTTGTGTTTTGCATTTCCTGCGAAGGCTGTTGGTTCGGAATGCCTGGGACTCGTGGGTATTTTTTTTTATTGTTAGCTTATCCAAGAAAGGACTCTCGACTCTGGTGAGCGACGAAGGAGACTGAGAGACGCCGTCGCCACTTCCTCTTGCTGGGCGTGCTTCGCCGCCCCTTCCTAGTTGCTGTCACAGGAAGTGTGGTCGCAGGTAGCTGACGATTTAACCCGAACATGAAAACATCGATCAATTCACAGGAATCGAGCTTCCTGCCTGCCGAGGATCCACACACCCTGCCCCAAAAACATTCTGGACCGTTCCGGTACCCAAAACATTTATATGCCCCACTGCATGTTGGACACTTGCATTGATGCTATCGGGTCATGGCGTGCTATGTACGACTGGATGGTTTGCAAGGGCTTCCGTCGAATTACATATGTCACAGCCCACGGGTACCTGGCGTTCACACGAAAGCTCTACCTAAACCTGCACGACAGGTGTTTGTTCGGGGGGGTCTGCTCATGTGGTGCGGGGACGGGCCAGGCCGGGCTAAAGTTCTCGGCTCCAAAGCATGCAACCACTTCTCGAGGTTCCCATGCCCGTACTGCATGGTTGAGCAACGCGACAACATCACCGGGGGGGACCTAGGAAATGCCCAGTACGACATCGATGCACATCGACGTACCTGGGGCCAGATCACGGCGGGGTTTGATACGCTAAAATCCCTCGCAGACAACCCCGCCGAGCATTCTCGACAATCGATGGTATACTGGGGCTTGCTGCGGACTCCAACAGCCCCTCCCTGCCCATGTACGACTCAATGCTCACCATCCCGACCGCGGTGGTCCCTGTGGAGCGGCTGCACTTCGATGCCCTGGTGAGACATGTATATATAATGCGGAACGGATCAGGGTAGCACGTACGTACCGCAATGTTTGCCGTACCGGAAATAAGCGACCTCGTACAAACAACGAGCGATTGATTCAGGAAGCTTGGGACGTGTCATGTCTCCCTTGAGTCGTTGGGCCTCTAATGGCGGCACGGTTGATTATGTGTCTTGCAAACCATGTGTGTTACATTTGTTTTGCAGGGGTCCTGCCAGCTGTGCCAAGTGTCCTGCCTCGAGATGCTGTCGACTCAGGGTCGACGGCTGGTCTCGGCAGTCGTGGCTCAGAACCCTTCTCTGCTATACCCAGCTGGCACGGAGCGTCTCAAAGATATCGTGACCAACTACTCGTCTCTCACTGGGAGCGACAAGTGGACACTGCAGTCCATCATGCTGCTCGTCTTCCGGCCGGTTCTCGCAAATGTCGGGGCCATGGTGAGGTTATACACACTAGCGCGTGGAGAGTGGAGGAGACCTTTGCTTCGTGTTGATCTTACCGGATGAATCGGAGAGTACAAATACGACATGGTAGTTGTTGATGGTCNAGCTTACCGGGGCACAGGAAGTGGGCTGAAAAGGCGGGAAGTGATGCGGATGGAATAGGTAGGATAGGAAAATCATTTGTGAACTACATTCGGCGAAGTAGGAAGGAACGATTCGCCATCGGTGATCGGTCCTCTGTGGGAACACTACTCCGTCCTCTCGAGTACCTGTGGTAATTAGTCTAGGCATGCGAAACAGGTGTGCCCCCCCACCCCCAATTCAGGTATTGGTGAAGGGGCACGGCGCCCACAGTCCTCCTCTGCGTGCCAGCCTGCAAGAACGGGGCGACATTTGCAACCCGATATTTCCCAGCAAAAATATATCTGCCAGATTCTCGGGTTCCGATATAAATTATCCGGGTTAACCCTCCCTCCGAACCCATCCCTGTGGCGATTTGTCGACGAAACTTGCACCCTCGCAGAAGAAGAACATGAAGAGGCAGGACATCGCCGAACTGAGAGACGTTTGGGGGACTGACGAGAAGGTGCTCGAGGTGCTTCAGAAGCTGATAGAGGTGGCGTCACACCTGTCATGCGCTGTGCGTGCGCCTTCTCACAACGACCTGGAGCTGGCCCAACTCGACCTCCTCGCGCGTGACGTGGTAAGTCTTTCTGACCTCGATTCCTGTGACGGGCATTGGTGTGTATCATTTTGAGCGGCATACAATAGATGGCGGTGCTTGCGTCACTGCCGTCTCCGGGTTATCCCATCCTGCATTGGGCTTTGTTTCGTTTGAGGGTGCACACACCAGATGGGAAGGATTGCCATGTTCGGCGATCGAACCCGTAGGAGACTTGTTCGGCGATCCAATCTCGTTGGAAAGCGTACTCCTTAGAACACGTCGGCGCCCATGACACCTCTCTCACACATACCCTTTAAAAACAACGCCGATGCGCGAAAGCGCCTCAAAACGCCACTGGGGCGATCGCCTTTGTTGTCACCCCTACCAGTGAAAACACCGCGGCGCGTGCTTTCTTCGTGTTGCTTTTGGGTAGCCGCCAACCGACCCTTTTTCCGGGACCTGCATTTCGACCCATTCGCGCTACTGTCTATGCTGCCACACTCCTGCTACCGCTGCTGCTACTGCTGCTGCTGCTGCTGTTGTTTATCCGCGGTCGTCGCAGCCGTTGGGAAGGCCAGACATCGTGTGTTCCAGCGAGAGAGGGCCACGGCAAAGTGCGTTTCGTTGCGTCTCCGAGGGAGGCCCTATCGAATAATGAGACACATCTCCAATGACGTCGCACCCCGGGTCCTTTTTTTACATGTTCCTTTCACCCGAAAAGTGGTTTGCGCTCCCCAGAGAATTCTTGTATTAATTTGTTTCTTCCTCCGCGCTGTCCAGGTCGGCGTCTATTCCAAGGTCTTGGGGAGGACTGGTTCGAGGCCTACCATCCACTCTGTTCTGCACACTTCACAGGCCATCCGAGCACATGGTGAGGGTGATGGAACACGTTACCTTGGCTGAGCCCAAGTTGGCCCGTGGCAGGGGTTAGGATGCGGTTTGTGACCTATATTTCTTAACACACCCTCGATCAACCCTTCCGGGCCGAAGACCCGGGATTCGATCTCTGGCGTCGTTGTATTGTTGTAGTTGCTCAGTGCGTCTCGACATCTGTCAAGGAGCAGGGTGATGAGGTCGAAGCAAGTCGCGCTAGTCGAGTTACCGTCGAGGCGCCTCTCAGTGTTAGTTTCTGGGGTCGAATTTCAGCAGGAGGACGAATAAATATTTGAACCGGCACAGCAGAGCTCCGACTGTCCCTGCAGTGCTCCTCGACCCAGGGGGGTTCCTCCGCCGAAGTATGCCTTGCCTGTATTTTGCTGGCCTTGTACGGCAGTTTCATTACATCAGTTTAATCTTGTAGCACGGCCTTTGTAAAGTCACCTACATGGTTGCTGGCTATCGACGAGTAATTGTCGACAAACTTCCCCGTACCGCATGCAGGAATTGTCCCCGATGCAAGCTCCGGGGAATTCGCCCACCAGCAAAACAAGTCCGGCAATAAGTCCGACTGTGGTCGGAACCCACCCAAGCACTACATCAAGCGCGCCAACACCAACGCCGCAATGCTTGCGCTCGCGAACGGTCTCGAGTACCGGGTACGGAAGTACAACTTCAGCAAACAGGAACATGAGATTGTTCCGGTGTCGCCCGGGGCAGGGTGCATCCGCCTGATGTCCTTGCTTGCCCGGACCCTCGGTCACGACCGCGTACCCACGGACGTTCATGCGACAGAGACCCCAACTACAGCGCAGCTGAAAGGCCAATTTCCGGGATCAGCAATCTGGTCGGCACACCTGTACAAGGACAACGATGTGCAGGTCGACGATGGGTCGTGGAGTGCTCGCGTTTCTGGGGGCAACTTTCGCCCCGACGAAGCGGCATTGATCGCCCAGTACAACGTGTTTTTCGGATGCGGAGGGGATGAGCAATGTAGCAACCTTCGTTGCCCCTCCTGCTGGGATGAGGAGGATACCTTGGAGAGTAGCCTGCTAGAATGTTCGAGACACATGCGCGTAGCGCAGGTAGCGAGCTGTGGCCAGGGGCGGCTGAAGGGTGGCGACGTCAAGGCAGCCGCACGGCCTGGGCCGCCTGACGACTGGGCGTTGGGGCAGGGGCAGGGAGACGATGTCGAGATATTCAACAAACCGCAGCCGACGGGAGACCATGGACCGCCATCAGCAGACCAACTCACCCTCAGCAAGATCATCTACTTCTTCCGTCACAAAGGAAACAAGAACTCCATGAGCGGTGAGCCACCACCATTTACGTGGTGGGTTCTCGCGTACGACTACGTCGGGGTCGGCCATGGTAACGAGCGGGTGCCCGATTCCATCACCGGGCATCCGACGTTGTCACTACGGGGCGGGGCCGTCCGAAGCTTTACCCTGTATCAGCCGTCAGACGCCAGGTACACATGTACCACCAATGCCCGCACGGCCAAGATGGATCAGAGGGGTCGCTGCTTTGCGGGGAGACGCAGGTGGCGGGCAGACGTGTCTGGCGCCACAAGTTCCGGCTCGCATTGCCGGGGTCCAGCAACGGCTACGACAGGTACCTCCTGAACGAGGTACACCACAGCATCAACCAAGACACGTTTGTATGAACGACCATGGAGTTCTTCTGCCTAATGTGAGACGCAGAAGATTGTGACAGAACCTCCTGAACAGCATTGTTGTTGTTGTTGTTGTCTGTAGAACTAATGTAGTATGGATGCCTATTGCTTGCACTGGTTCTTGCGGTCCGTGAAGGACTTCCGCGATGCGACCCTGAGCATACCTGTAGGAACCCTAGGAGTATGAACATTTGAACGAGTTGTTTGCTCATTGCGAACAACGACACAGCAGTCAGATTCGCAGCAACCATTACAATGATCCCCCAACGCCGCCCACATGTCTCTTGGCGCCACACAGACCAGCGATGTTCTGTCGAGGGAAAGCGATTCGGCACGGGCGGCAACAACTGCTGCTGTGGACGCCTAACGATGGCCGACCTTCGGCTTATAGGTGTATAGGTGTGCGTCTGGATGTGGCGTTCGCAGCTGGCTGCAACGTCGGAGATGGGGTTGGGAGGCAGGGCGAACACCCTCATGCGTCGATGCCAACTGAGGAGGAGGGTCGTAAGATTGTAGGCGCAAACCATTTGTTCACGTATTACAATGGTTTATTTCCGCTGCTGTAGGGTACGAGTCTCGAGATGTATTTCCGGCGGATGTGCCGCTTCCAGCTGAGCAGCTGAGCGGTCTTGCTGTAGGAACCGTAAACCTCAATGCATGGACTGTGCCGCCATGGCGTTACACGATGCTCTACGTGGAGACATTCCGAAGTACAATAGGGTAGCCCATCTAGCACTGAAAAGTCAGGGATTGGCTCTGAATCAGGGGCTTAATTTAGACAGGATTTCGAACATGTTTGCTGAAAGTCCATTTGAGGCCGCGAAAAAGTACGTACGCAGGTGCATGATTCAACAACGATTTTGGTCATCGTACTACACCGGCAAAAATATACATGATGTAACCCCGCCGATAAGAGTCTGGGAACAACTTTCCCGACGAATTCGTGGTGTTCTTAGTGGCGTTTACCGGACACTGCTTGCTGCCTGTGTGTTGATACATACAGTGCTGGGCCCGGTATAGTGCCAATTGAATAGTGTGTATAGTGTATTGTGCAGGAGGTGGGTGTCTTCGGCTTTTTTCTTATTTTTTTATTTTTTTTGTCATCACTTGAATCGGCTTTTGCACACACTGAAATACCACGACGGGACACACACGTACTAGGTTACAGCTGTGCAACATCTTGGTCCAAATAATACGTAGTTCTGAAATCGGTTATTCTGAAGTTCAGCAGTACTTTTTTTTCTCTTGCGGCGCGCCTCCCTCTGCCAACCGCGTCGATCTCAAAACGCGAGCAGACGCTCCATGCCCTATAACATGGCCATAGCACCGTCTCCATGTCGGGGTAGAAACGCGGACTCACATCATACGCGGATAAAATGTGTACTCCACGGGATCGTCCATCTGCATCATCACCGCGGGACTGTCACTTTTCCCCCGCCAGTAACGGCCGTGTCCATCGGTAGACTGCTGGACAATCGGTACAGACAGTGGGGGCTGTATCATCTACGCCAGACACACAGAGGTTAAAGCCTATAGGCGGATACAACCCTTACAGCGTCGACGCCCTGACAGGGTTCCTGCCCGTGGACCTTCTGGGGACCGACTACCTTCGCAGGGTGCCAGAGGGTCCGTACAGCGTCTATTTGGCCGCAAGGTCCGTACAGGGGTAGCCATTTGGCCACAGGTGAGACTAGTGTACCATCATTGGCAAACATTGTAAATTAATCGATTCTTTGTATCAAGACGGGTGCCTTGGCCACTGTGTAGCTTGCTTCGTCTTTCTTTAAACTAGGCTACCAGAAGAAGAGTACCAATGCTACGGCCTTAACTGGGGGCGTAGGATTTCGGGATCCTCGATGCCAAGCGCTTCTACTGACTGGTGCAAAACCGGAAATTGCACACAGGCGCGCCATAAAGGAGCCCATCCGAAACCGCAGGAACGCCTTGCGTTGAAGTATGTGTTCCCCCGGTCGCCTACTACTTGTGTACAGCAAATATGAACGTTGGGCACAAAAGCATGTCGAAGACGTGCATAGAGAAACGTCCTTTGCACTGCTGTATTGTGGTTTAGACCGACCGCAACGGTAGCAAAATGCGGCGCAACACATGGTGGTCCCCACCAGGTGCTTGCTGCTTCGACCGCCAACTCCTGCTTCGTTCTACGCAAACAAGTCGGAGGTTGCGCCTTATCTCGAAATCAGCTCATCATATATTGGTGGGATCCGACCTTCCTGGTGAAAGCTGTCTGTACCGAGTCGCAAGAGCTGAGGCAAACTTTTCTTTTTCGCGCTTCCCACAACATCCACTCTTATGAAAAATGACGCAGGCGTGTGGGGCGGACGGCGCACACGACACGTATTGCCTGAACGCCTGCAGTGGCATGGAAGCCGTGATGCCAGACGTGGGCGAGTTCAAGTAGTACTAGACTACTTGGTAAGAGGGCGAAATTCCGACCCCTATATTGTGCTGTACCGTAAAGTTGCGAGTCAGCGCACAGGCAGGGGTGCGAACGATTTTCAAAGCGTAGTTTCTCCTCAAGCAGGAGGGTGCGAGCGCCAACAGATGTTTGTCAGGAAAGCTCTTGATGAGATATTTCCAAAACCGCCCTTTTCAACAGTGTTAACCTCCTGGGTGTGGAGAAATTACGCTTTGAAAATCGATCGCACCCCGGTGCGGTGACTCGCAACGCTACGGTATGTTACAAGCTTCCGCGTTTTCATTCGCGATGCTCGGCGGTAGCGTGGACCCTATTACTGTACCTTCAAACCTGAACCTACGTTGTAGTTCGCTCGCTCCTCGAACTGCGTTTCGACTGTGGTGATCGGAAGGGCACAACGGCGTTCTAACCCTCACTCTGCGTTGTACTTTTAGTTTTTTAGCAGAGCGAACTGCGTTCGTTACGTTGTCGTCACTTCTATTCCCCGACCACGCACATCCCACGGTCTGTTCTCTCGGACACCTCGACGAAAACCTGCAGACGTGCGGTTTCGACGAAGGGTTCTTCCCTGGTGCCGTGAACTGCTTCCGTGGCTGTTGTCCGGACGGCGTCAAGTGAATGCTGGTCGCTCTGCTTTCGGTTTGCTTGAGTGCGTACAAATCATGTTCCCTCTTGCTCTTCTTGTCGTTAGTGCTCTACAGTAGTGCGGTGCAATTCGTGCGTGTACCGCTATTGGCAAGGGCTTGTTTCGGCAATGTATTTTAGCCTTAGCCGCACTTTCTTGATCATGCCTTATTGAAGGTTGTTTTACTGCGACGCTCCTCCCTCGTGTAGGTTTGAAAGCAAGGTAACCATGTACGCTCCGCCGGGTAGGGTTGGAACCAAGGTAAAGTGACGGGGTAGTATTGCTCGTGAAACGCGTCATGACTTCATGGTTAAGAGGACTACTCTCTCACTCAGCCCAAACGAGAACGTCTTTCCTTTCAGAGGACACAACGTGCTCGAACTTGAGTAGTACCGATTCTTGTATGAAGCGAGTCCTCTCACTAATCCCGGTTCACCATGCAGATGCACCGACTTCTCTCTAATCCCGCTTCACCGTGCAGATGCACCGAGGCAATGGAAGCGTGCGACGACGGCGCCGAGGATGGCTACACGGAGGCCTACTTCCCAGATACTGGTATGATCGTGACTGAACATTATGACACTGACTTCCTCGAGGGGGACGACAAGCTCTACATTTACACGACCACTACCGTCGACTGCCAAGCCTACTACAACAGTCAGAAAGTTCAATTTTTCCGAAGTATATGCAGTTGACACCAGCTGCTGTTGGACCACCTGTTGTGTGTGATAGTACAACAATCGGATGTTGCTTGAAGCGCCAAAGAGAATGGGGGCATAGTGGGCAGGGTCTTGTTTAGTAGTTGCGGGGCCTGTCGTGCTTTGCAGATTTCCTCCCAACAGTGTTAGAGTGAGGTGACGGACGATCTAACGTCCACCCTCACGCTTGAGGCATGAGGGGAAAGGGAAGCCGGTGCTACCACGTAGAAGAAAAATCAAAGGGCGGGGTCCGGAAACGACCCTTAAAACGGCAGAGTTTGTCATTTTCGCTCCCGCCGGGAAACTTCATTATTACAGAAGTACATGCCATCTACGCGCTCGCACTGTGGTCGTGCATCGGCCCACTCCCCAACTCTTCACCGACACGGAGGAGCTTTCAACCTTCGGGCGTTCGCATCCATCGACCCCTTTCACCTAGCACTCAACAGAGACCACTTGTAGCAATAACCCCTCGCTTCTTTCCCCCCGCACCAGAAATCACCCCGAGCCCTCCGCTATTTCCACGAAGCTTGCGCATCCATCGGCCTCTCATGCCTAGCACTCAACAAGGACCACCGACAACAGTAGCGCCTCGCTTATTTTCCGCCGCACCACAATCCACCCCTATCCCTCCCGCGATGCACGCGTCGGTTTCATCTCCTCCTTGCTGTCTTTCTGTGTAGATACCGAAGACGAGTCTTTGATCACGCCCACGACGGCACCGAGGCCAGGCGAAACCAACCTTGACAGCGGCTACACCTATCTTCCCGAGCCTAGCTCCTCGGCAGAACGTTCGTCGGCAACGTTTTCGTCGGAAGCGCCTAGTTCAAGCCCCACGCCAGGTATGGTGTCATTGGTTAGCCTGCCGGGCCAGGCTGCGACAGCTTTGGCGTGCAGCAATTCGCTAGCGTGCCTTGCCACACTGTGGGGGCACTGTGAAGGATCCACCCAAGCCTCAGAAGTTCTTGAAACTTTTCCAGCATTTAGGGTCGTGTTTGAGTGCGTTGTGTTCAAGATACCGCGGGTCGGATGTCCCATTGTACGTATAGTCCGTGCACACCAAAAAATCCAAAATTTTCCCAGCACAAATGACAACTTTTCTCTGCCCACAGGTGGTTGTTCCGAAATCTGAAAGTACCGGAAAACGCCCTGTTTGCAGGCGCATCGCGTGACGGAGAGTTTTTTTTTTGTTTCTTGACTTTTTATCGGCGCAAAACCGGAAAAAATTGAATTGTTTTCGCAGGGGTGTGTTCTTTGCCGATTCGAAAAAACTCAACGGATTTGAACAGATGTCGGGATTTGCCAGGTCGGTATTTTTTTTTTGGTCAAAATATTGTGAATTCACGGAGATATCAGAGAAAAACCGGATCTAGAGGGCTAACTTGTATTGTTTTTCGGGGGATAACTAACCGACCGATTTCAAAATAAACAGCGGCAAACGATTCCTCTCCTCAATATCTAGGTCGGTATTTGTGGTTTTTGTCGGGAAAAATCTGGTTTCCGAGATATTCAACTTTTTGTTGTGCCGTCCCCATGGGAGATTTTTTTCGTTGGGCAAGACGAGACGAACACACAACAAACACGCACACGTGGCGGCCTACCACCCTGAGCTTAACGCTATTGAGCGGTACTGGGGATACGTCAAGCACTATCCGTCTTCACTGCGAGAACTCCCTCACCCACATGCTCCAGATTCTGCCGGGCGCGTTGCGTGGCGTGCCGTTGGCACACATCCGTGCGTGGAGTAGGGTCGTGTGACTGTACGTTGAAGCGTACGACGAGGGGATGGTGGACTACCTCAAGGACCGCGAACTCAAGGAGTGGAACACGCACCGAGAAGCCACCCAGAGAGGGGATGCCGTCGTGGAGGCAACGGGAGGGCGCAAAACACAAGCGGAAAAGGACGCCGCGGCGGCGCAGGCGTTGGCGGCTTCGCAGGAATGCCGAACCTTCTCCGTCAGGAGGGCGAAAAGGACATTCAAGAAGTGGAAGCAGGAAAAGGAGAAGAAGCGGGCCATGGAGCAGGAGGGAGAGGAAAAAGAGGCCGAGAACGATGCGTAGTGATGTGTGTCTTTTAGTGCTGCACAAAATTTTGCTTAACAGCTTGGCCGAGGTTTGTTGTGTTGTGTGCTTGGTGCGTGTTTCCCTTTCTTCATGCCGATCTTGTATACCGAGTATTAGCAATATACAGCAGTAAACAATACTGCTTTATAAATATTTTCGTTTGTGTGTGCAGAGATTCGTCAAAGTTGTATAGAAGTGATGGTATTTCTCCCTATGGGTGTCGTCGACCAACTTTTCTTCGTGCTATCTGTACAAATCCAATCATGTGGTGTCCGTGTGTACAAAAGCAGGCACTGAGAAGAGTGGTGGGCGTCCCGGGGGGAAGGTTAGGGGGCTCCGTGGATGAATTTGGGGCAGGTATGTCGTGTTTAGGGGCTCCGTGGACATTTTTCGCCAAAAATGTTGCACATCGCCGAAATTAAAAAAACTCTGCAGCTATCGACTTATCTCGACGAGGCGGTCACGACTATCGTTGTTTCACGTTCCCATTCTTTCTCGAAAAGAAGTTATCGCACAAAAGGTAACTGGACAAATTGTTGTGCACGGACCGTATGTAGCCAACCACTCCGGCGCCGCATGCCGTTGAGGGATATGGCCGTGCTTCGTATGACTACCGCAGCAGACCCCGCAAACGTGCTGCACATCCAAGGGTACTTTCTAGATGACTTCCAGTTGTGGAATCATAGGCGGCTTTCTGGCTCGTCAAGCCACCGTGGACCCTCTCGTGCCCAGTTCACGTTGCCCATTATCAATAACGCCCGCCGATTCTAAACCTCAACTTCGCCGATATTGTAGTCCTTGTTAAGAGATGGTTTTCGTGTTGTGTTTGTACCCCTTGCTTGTTTTTTCCACTGACCAGCCCTGGGGGAGCTGACACCTCGGACGGCTCCTTTAAGAGGGGCACCGTGGCAACGTCCACCCTCTATGCGGTACTTGGAGTCGCGCTACTCGTTATGAGCTAATGGGTTGCTTGGAAACCGGGATCCCTCCGCAGCCATCCGGGTAGCGCATGGACGTAGAGAGCGATGCGCCTGGTTGTGAAATCGATTGTGTTGTGCGCTATGGCCTGACTGACTTGTGAGTTAAGCCCCACTCGTACCGTATATATCGATGGTTGTTTGCGGCCTACGCCACTTATTTATCGGGTGAGACTGTTTTGGTGATGTATTAACTTCACGGGAGGTTGACGACCGTCCTTCACACGGACGAAAGAGGGAGTACTCAAAGAGCGGCTCCCACAGCAAGGAGGGGCCCCGTGAATCATCGCGGTGCCCCTTATCAAACGGTTATCTTACCAGTCTGCGTGACACTAAATCATCCAGCACATGTATCCAACAGCAATGTTCGCAGGCTCACGAACACCCTCCCTGGTTCTTCACGCAAGTGACTAACCATCAATTGGGCAAGAACGCCCCAGGATACATCAGAAAATACCAACATGGTAACAGATGGAGGGGAAACCCGGCGTCCGGGCAAAACCCCTCAAGGAAAAA